GGACTATGATTCGCCTTGTTTGAAATGTGCAGAGGAAACAAACATGGGCAAATTACTGTTATTGTATTTATCAAAGTAATCTAGAAAGGTAGAGTAGAAAGAATGGAAGAAATCTGGCATTCTAATAGCATGCTGGCTGGGGAATTCTGGGAGTTGAAGTCCACACGTCTTAAAGTTGCCAAGGTTGAGAAGCACTGCTCTCGAAACTCAAGTTCCCATACTCTGAACTTCCTTTTCTAACTTTTCTCAACAACCCTGAGATGGAGGTTGTGCAGACAGAACGTGTGAATGCAAATAAGTGACTTTCCACGATCTTTCCACGGTGGAGAGAAAATCTGTCCCAAATCCAGCACTTTTAACCTCTAGACCTCACTGCCACATACGGCTGACACAGGTGAGGTGAGAACCAGCTTTGCATTAGCCTTCTGTTGCCTAAAGTGACCAAGCAGCTGTCTTCAAAATCCAAATTCAAGAGCTGTCTCATTTTTCTGTTGCATTTTACACTCCCGTATGAATTCTGGCCCTTAAGACGTGCAAAATTCATCACGCACGTGCACACACGCGCACACACATTCTTAACTTTCTGAAACAGGCAAAAACTGTTTGGCTGACTAAATCAGTGGCTCTTTTTCTTGGCGATTTCTTTGACTTTTATTCACATTTTCAGTAATGGTGCCTCTTCTTAAATGTTGCGATCTAGTTTGAAATCTAACGTGAAAAGTGGAAAAATGCATACATGCTTAGAAATCAACCATTAGCACAATATTCCAAAGTTGGTTTCCTCCAGACCAGGGTTTACCAACTTCAGCAGCTTTAAGATGCGCGGATTTCAACTCCCAGAATCCCCCAGCCAGCATGCTTAAGACCCAGTTTTCTCTTTTAAAAACAATCTAAATGTTCAGGCATTACCACAACTTTGTTAAACGAATTAGAAATCCCAGTTTTGCAATGAATAAATGCTACTTTCTGTTTGGTGCCTAATTTCTTGCAGCACACCCAACCCTCTTTCTAGATTATTTTTGTCCTATCATAAATTGATGCAGGATGGCGAGCCAAACAAAACTGAGCCGTGTTCCCCATGAACTGCTTGCTTCACATCCTGAGATTAGTGAAAGACACTTTTTTACAGATTTTTGCAGCCAATATGGACTAGAAATGTGCGGATTAGAAAAAAAAAGTTTGAGATTTCTAAGACACGGTACCCTACGTTTAATACCACATCACAATCCCCAACATATAATTGCCCAGCAATTGTACACAACCTAAACACAACCACTGGGATTTTTCAAATTCCCAGTTTAGTTTATAGTTCTTGGATTTCTTAGTGGTCTCCCATCCAAGTACTAACCGGATCTAAGCCTGCTTAGCTTTTTCTGAAATCCACATAGGTTGATTTGAAATACACACTGTCCAGTATCTTTTAGACCAGTGCTTCTCAACTTTGGCTGCTTTAAACTATGTGGACTTCAACTCCCAGAATTCCCCAGCCAGGTTGAGAAGCACTGTTTTAGAGAAATGACCCAATGCTACATAAACTGGTGCTAAGCCTGTTTAATAACTTTTCAGGGATAGTATCTCAAGAATGACATATTTTTAATCTGGAAAAGATGCTCAGTCATTCCCAGTGAAATTCCCTTAATCTGGGGTTGGGGTGCAACGCCAGACAACATTGTCAATTTTAGTTACCCAGGTGGGGCAGGTCACAGTGACCCAACGATAAACGCTAGTCAGCAATATTCTCTTTTTGCTGAATTTCTCGTGGTCGCAAGATAATTTCGGAAAAAGCTACGGTTAGACTTGAATCTGCTCAATGCCCCAGAAAACCAGGCTAATTATATGGATGGGTTTCAGCATTTGTCCCCCCCCCCGCTTGCTCCACGGATGCATTTGGGGGCACCGCTATTTTTCTAAGAGCAAAGGGTGATGAAGGACTTGGTAGAGGGAAGAATGAACCTTGCCAAGCCAGAGAAAATAACAACTTGGCATGGCTTGGGGGAACTGGGAGTTCGATTAGATGGCTGGGAAGGTCTCTTCCAAACTCCCACGTTCTGGGACTTTTGGGGCTTCCCGGCTGTTCTTTAAATTTGTTTATAGCCCTGTGCCTCAAAGCAGGAGGAGTGAAGCAAGAAAAAAGAGGATCGGTTTGGGAAGATGCTTTTAAGTGGATGATTTTCCAGGACGTTCCTTGGAAAATGGGGGGGGGGG